TCACTGTGAAAAACTGCTTCTATACAATCATTTAAACGGTTTTTAGTGTATTTTCAAGGCATACAGTTTGATTTACACATACAAATTTGACATTTTGACTGGCGCGCCGGTGATACAGATTTCCAAGAATTTGTAACGCGAGTTACTCTATTTTTTTATAGATGCCGCTCTAAACAAATATTTAATTTAAATCATTTTTAGATTATAATAAGTAGTTTTCGTAGAAAAAGTATAGTATGCAATCGTGTATAAACTTTTATAGACACTCATTTAATTAAACACTCTCTTCCAAGCTCGCTCGTGCCTAATTAAAATTCGTGACTAAAATGGCGTTTATCAAACTTGACCCATAATATACTATTAATCTAAAACATCCTTTTTGTGGGTTAGGTGAACAATTTAAACACATACTTAATTGCATATTATAAACACATTATTGCAGCATCGTTTTATTGTGATACGTAAGTTTCTAACCCTAAAATATTTTTATACATATCCATGATGCTAAATATACAAGTGATCATCGCTATTATAGCGTTTTCCATTCGTAAAACTCGTGCAGATTTGGTGCATTTTTTGTGATTCATTATTAAAATTGGTTGTGTTTTTTTTGTGTTTCATTGAAGAATATTTTATACATTACATTCAAATAAAATTCTATTTTTAACTTCATAACTCAAAAACCACATTTAAAAAATATATTTTTAGTTAAAATAACCTCTTTGCGTCGTATAAATATATAAATATCAAATGTCAAATGTGAAGGTGAGACTTTAATATGAGTCGTAAAGAATCAAAAAACCGACATATTATTAAGCCTTGCAGGCTTTTGCATTTTTTTGCAGACTTGGTCCAGTCCAAAACCCAAATATGATTTTCAAAATAAATAACCAAATAATCCTGTACATTCTACGGTGTAGAATGGTCAAGACCCTAAAGAAAAATATTTTATACATTACATTTAAATACTTAAAATAAAATTATATTTTTACCCTGCTGAAAATGACGGATGATTGCGGATATAAATTCTTCTTCAAAACCGGATAAAAGCAGATGATTGCGGGTATAAATTCTTCATCGAAGCCGGATAAAAACAGATAAAAGCGGGTAAAAATATTATCTGATAACATCTGCTTTTGTCCGCATCGCTATATCCGCGAACACCCGGTTGGTTGTGTTTTATGTCCGGTTAGTGCACCCCCGCAATCATCTGTTTTTAACCTCTTCACTGTGATTCGTTTATATCTGAATTTGTCCGGAATCATCTGCAAACGTCTGCTTACGTCTGGTTTTATCCGCGATTACCTGCATTTTTTTGTCTGGTTTTATCTGCAAACGTCTGGTTTTATCCGCGAGCATATGCTTTTACCCGCAAACGTCTGCCTAGTCCAATTTCACCCGCCAACATATGCTTTTATCCGCGAACATCCGCAATCACCCGCGAACAACTGCTTTTATCCGCGACAATCTGCAATCACCCGCGAACATCTGCTTTTACCCGCGATTAAAGCAGATGTTTGCGGATAAAAGCAGATGTTTGCGTATAAAATCAGATGTTTGCGGATAAAAGCAGATGTTTACCGATAAAAGCAGATGTTTGCGGATAAACTCACATGTTTGCAGATAAAAGCATGTTTGCGGGTGAAACCGTATGAAAGCAGATGTTCGCGGATAAAATGAGATGTTTGCGGATAAAAGCAAATGTTTGCGGATGAAAGCAGATGTTTGCGGATTAAATCAGATGTTCGCGGATAAAATGAGATGTTTGCGGATAAAAGCCGATGTTCTCGGATGAAAGCAGATGTTCGCGGATGATTGCAGATGTTCGCGGATAAAATGAGATGTTCGCGGATGAAAGCAGATGTTTGTGGATAAAAGCAGATGTTTGCGTATAAAATCAGATGTTTGCTGATAAAAGCAGATGTTTGCCGATAAAAGCAGATGTTTGCGGATAAAATCAGATGTTTGCGGATAAAAGCATATGTTTGCGGATAAAATCAGATGTTTGCGGATAAAATCATATGTTTGCAGATTAAAATAGATGTTTGCGGATAAAAGCAGATGTTTGGAGATTAAAACAGATGTTTGCGGATAGAATCAGATGTTTGCGGATTAAAACAGATGTTTGCGGATTAAAGGAGGCGTTCGCGGATAAATGCAGATGTTTGCGGATAAAAGCAAAAGTTTGCGGATTGAAGCAGACGTTCACAGATAAAAGCAGATCTTCGCGGATAAAAGCAGATGTTTGCAGGTGAAATCGGATGAAGCAGACTTTTGCGGACTAAAGTAGATGAAATCAGATGTTTGTGGATTAAAATAGATGTTCGCGGATGAAAGTAGATCTTCACGTATAAAAGCAGATGTTTGCAGGTAAAATCGGATAAAGCAGACGTTTGCGGATTAAAGTAGATGTTTGCGGATAAAATCAGATAAATCCGGGTGGATGCAGATTTAAACCCAAATACAGGTATTTGCGGATGAAACCAGATGAAAGCAGACATAAAAATAGATAAAACCCGACGTTCGCGGATAATATTTATACCCGCAATTGCAGATAAAAACCGACATGCCGGGTAAAATCAGATATGTCGGATGAAAACAGATAAAACTAGCTTGTTTTTTTATCCGCAATCATCCGATATTATCCGTCTTTCTCAGCAGGGAAACTTCATAACTCAAAAACCATATCTAAAAAAATATATTTTTAGATAAAATAACCCGCATGCGTCATATAATTTATAAATTTGTATAAAATATTGCTGGATTTATGCAGCACAAATTAACATTTAGTTAACATTAACATTAATATTAACATTATCATTAAGAAGTTAAATGAACGTAATCCATTGGAAGCTTTTATGCAACACATTAACTTTAACATTAAGAGGTGGCCAACTTTTATCTTCTTAATGATAATGTTAATGTTAATGTTCGCGGATAATATTTATACCCGCAATTGCAGATAAAAACCGACATGCCGGGTAAAATCAGATATGTCGGATGAAAACAGATAAAACTAGCTTGTTTTTTTATCCGCAATCATCCGATATTATCCGTCTTTCTCAGCAGGGAAACTTCATAACTCAAAAACCATATCTAAAAAAATATATTTTTAGATAAAATAACCCGCATGCGTCATATAATTTATAAATTTGTATAAAATATTGCTGGATTTATGCAGCACAAATTAACATTTAGTTAACATTAACATTAATATTAACATTATCATTAAGAAGTTAAATGAACGTAATCCATTGGAAGCTTTTATGCAACACATTAACTTTAACATTAAGAGGTGGCCAACTTTTATCTTCTTAATGATAATGTTAATTTTTATTCCTCCTGCGCAGGTTTGCTGCGCAATTTTTAAATAAACCGTGTCAGTAATGCCAGCATACCCGAAAATAAAATGAAACTTACTGCTCAATGATTGATTTTTTATTCAATGATTGTGTTCTTTCGTTGATTATTTGACGTGCAGTTTATAGTTTTTATTCATTTTATTTAACAGATTCTAAAACGGGATTAAAGCAAAATTCAAACAAACCAAAAATGTCAGATGTCAAAATTACTTCAACTGCATGCTTAATTTGCCACTAATTTTGCTGCATAAAATACCCACCTTGTTGTTAATGTGTGCTGCATAAATCCAGCATATATATACTTTAAAATTGTTTATAAGGTTTAAGGGACGAAAGGTTTATTTTTTTCTTACTTTTTCTGACAAAGGAAGTGAAGGGATATTATAAATGTTTAATTTTTAAAAAATAATGTATACTTCCTTGCTTGTTTATATTCTTTATTTGCGACTAGTTTCGGTTATACACCATCTTCAGGCAAACTACAAATAATGAGGTATTAAATAAATATTTAAAAAATTTTAAAGTTAGGTTAAGTTATTTTGGTTAAAATATTTGTTAATTATGATTATTATAAATATAGTTAAAATGTAAAATTAGTATCTACTTACAATGTCAAGTTTTAAAATATGAGTTAAAATAATAATATATTACGAACATAGAAGTTTTAAAACAATTTTTACGCTTTATAAATAAATGTTTTTTGTGGTAGGTGTGAGATGTTGGTTGTGGTCTTACAGGTGTTTGAAAATAGGTTCAAAATATAATTCTACTTGTACGTTTAGTAGGTTACATTTGTCTTTGTTTTTGTTTATTTCATAGGCTTCTAGAAGTGTTAGTTTTATTCCTTTTTCTTCTTGATTTAATATTTTTATATTTTTCCAGTCTTCAAATTTATGTCCGCTTGATTGTAGATGTCTTCCAAAGTTTGATGTTTTGGTATCTTTTATGTGTTCTTTAATTCTTGTTTTTATACTTCTTCCTGTTTCCCCAATATATTTTGCATCGCATTCTTCGCATGTTATGCAGTATACTCCGTTTTTATCGAGATAATGTGTATTGTCTTTTCCATTTTTTAGGCAGTTGATAAGGTTTTCTTTTTGTTATGTTGCGCAGGTGATTTTGTATTTTTTAAGTATTTTTGCTATTTTATTGTTTATATTTCCCTGATATGAAATTTTTTTTTTCATATCAGGGAAATATAAACAATAAAATAGCAAAAATACTTAAAAAATACATTTTTTAAATATTTATTTAATACCTCATTATTTGTAGTTTGCCTGAAGATGGTGTATAACCGAAACTAGTCGCAAATAAAGAATATAAACAAGCAAGGAAGTATACATTATTTTTTAAAAATTAAACATTCCATAAACCTTGCTAAAAATGGATTACCAAAACCTAATGATATTATAAATCTTACTTAATAAATTATTATAAAATATTTAAAATATATTTAATACAGGAGAATTTCTTATACCAAATATGACAATGCGTCATTAGGAATGGTTATTTTTATCTTCACATTTCAAATATCTTGACATTTCTTAATATAAAGTAATTGACTTTTTTTTAATTTAAAACTACATAATTTATGTAGTTAAATATACATTCTTTAAAAACTAATAAAATATTTTGTAGGGAGACTTGGAAGTATGCGACCCAATAGACGCACTAACCTCCCAAGAAATGGAGGATGGAGGCAAGGTGGTTTATGTGGGGGTTTGTGCTATGGCTAAAAAGTCACAGAGCAAACCCATGAAAGAGATTCTCACCAGACTGCAAGAATTCGAGTACATCAAAGTAATTGTATTTCCTGAAGATGTTATCCTGCAGGTAAAATTGTACTAATTATTTATAAATAAGAGAATAATGTGAGAATGGGAAAATCGTCCTTTGCTCGGCCCAAGCATCACGAAAAGTGTAGTAGTCGGCAGGATTCTTGCTACAAAACTGACTGGGTTTTTGGACTAGGTTTGTTCGGGTTATACAATTCTGAACTGTTTAGGTTCTGAAGCGTTCTGGACTAGTACAATATTATTAAAAACAAAACGCTTTACGGTAGTTTCCAAAATCGCCTGTAGGTGTCGCTTTCTGTATTTCGGTATTTTGTTTATTTTAACCTCTAAATCGTAATTGTTATATGGGATATTCTTATAATAGGAGCAATCTTGAGTATAAGAAATTTAAAAAAAAAACAGTTACAGAAAATTTTGAAAAACTACTGTTTTATAAGAAATGAATAAAGTTTATGAAATGATGAGTCTGTTGAGCTCAATTTTTAATTTTGGGGCTTTTTCAAAAATCCATATCCACGCCAATGACTAAGAGGCACGCTAATGATTTATTATTATTATTTAATAATGATACAAAATATATTTTTAATATTTATTTATAAGTTACATTAAAAATTAATGAATTAAGCATATTTTATCAATTTCCTCGGAGTTTGGTACTTTAAAAAATCTATTTGAAATTGGCTGTGGTGGCAAATCAAGTTTACATAATATACCAGCTTCTGTAAAGATTTGTCGATCAGTTGATCCAGGCCAATAAAAATATTTACCACTTCTTGCCATAAAGGTAATAGTTATGTTTTCTCCATTTATATCCTCAATTATTCCTAAAAATAATTTACCTCAGTGCTCGATATTAATAAAAAAAGGAGACATACCTGGATACGGTATCCAGGATACCATGTCTCTGTAAATTGCAGCTACCCATTGTAAATGTTTATGTAGATATTAAACCTGCAGGTTCATGAACAGGAGATGGCACTAAAACCCGGTTTTTCAAAAGTGGACTTACGTCTTTTGCGAATTAGGGTAACGATATTAAATTTTATCCGAAATCGCATTTATTAATTATAAATTATTTACCTTTTTAAACAGTAGACACCTTCTGCATTAAAATTTGAATCGAATGTCATTTGAATGTAGTTTAGTTGCTGCTAAGGAGCAGTAAGGAGCAGTAATGGTTTGCATACAATGCTCGTATTAAATCGGTACTAAAGTTCTACTTTACTGCCGATTTCTTTTACTTTACTGTCGATTTTTGACTACTTTACTGCCGAGTTTAGATAAAAATATCTTATTATCATTATTCGTACAAAATATCATTGGCGTGGATAGTCCGTCATTAGCGTGGACAAAAAAGTCCACGCCAATGACGCAAGTAAATATCCACGCCAATGACAAAATTAAGGTTAAGGTTCTTTGGACAGCAAATGGATTAATGAATTTAATTTAAATTATCCATACCTTTTGTAGTTGTCACTGCTCATTAATTATTGTCAATATTTTTCTTATAGCTTTTAGATAAACAAAATTGTCACTAGCACTCCAATGATGCACTATAAACATACGCCCATGAAACACATAACAACTTCACAATTCATAGTTCACTGTGCAACTGTTCGCGTTTGGCGCCAAATCAAGTAAATAGCGTATACCAAAATGTTTATAATAACGGTCGCTAACTGGAAAATTTAAAGTAGGCGGGAATTTTAAATACGTATCATTATAATCCACGCTAATGATGTCAAACTCAGGGACACATTTAAGAAATGTTTTTTTTTCAATTCAATTTTATTTTTTTGTCTCAATCCCGCTTAACATATCTTAAAAAGTGTTGTCTATAATATACTATTGCTAGAGTATTTATGGACAGTTTCTTAATTTGCAAAAAAAAATATTCTGGTGAAAGGATATCCAGGGACATCCACGCTAATGACAATTTATGTAATTAAAGGGAAAATGTATCGAATTGGTTTTATTTTATTATTAAGTTAATAGGTGTATGAATAGGGTCAATAAACCCCTAAATAAATATAAAATAAAAAATGGTGAACATGCACTTGACTGAGCATGGCAAGTCAGGGACATAAAATTTCCCCTATTGTAAGAATGACCCATATGCTCTAAACTTTTTGAATTATTGAATTATTGACTGCAATAGGTCAGTGGTTTTAAATAATTTATAATTATTGTGAAAGATATTATACAGAGTGTTCCAACAAAATCTTAAACCCCCAAACGTTTTAACGGGTGAATGTTGACAAAATTCCTTGGACACGTCAATTTTTAATTCAAGGGGAAATAATTTTAAAAAAAACTCTTCACCCCCCCCACCCAAACCCTTACGCGCTTCTCCCCGCCCGCTCCCAAAATCTTAAATTGCACGGGGGGTTGAGTGACATATCGTTTTAAAGGACTTTTATTTCTTAATACAATTGTAATTTTATAAAAAATCTGTCAGTAAGTTTTAGAGAATTGCTATTTCAATTTTAAAATTAGGTAAATTAAGAGGAAAACAAAAAAATGTTTGTAAATCAACCAATGTATTGCTCAAGTGAGACGTTGTTCATAATGGCAACTGTCAAAATGCCAGGAATTTTCGTTTTGATGTCCGGAAGAAAAAGGTAGATAACCCCGTTTTTTTCAACTCCTTTAGCGCCGAGGGTTGTAGAAGATGAGACCCGGCATCGCGAGGTTCACTTTGAAGAAAATGCGTAATTAATATTACTTGCTTTCGGCAGGATTTTCGCCGGCACCGTTGCCGTTTTAGGGACATGATTTTATGCCGAATCGTTTAGAAAAAAATAAAATCGTTCGAGGATATAAGGCAGAAAAAAAATATATTTTAAGTATATTCTGGATATCCATAAAATAATTAAAGGTGTCTCCGAATTCCTCGCAAAAATTTTAAGAAATGATTCTACAGCGGTAATGTAAAAATTCCGGCAATGTGCGAAATGACTAGTTACTTTGCAAACCGAGAGGTAAACCACTGATTTTTTAAAATTAAAAATTGCATACGAATTAACGGTTAAGGATAACAATTACATGGGTAGTCATGCACAACGCTTTGCTAAGAGAAATTTCTAAGGAAAAAATCAGACACAACGTCCACGTAACGTCATCTATGCGTAACGTTGAACGCTGGTATTGCTGATTTTAAAGTGGTTTACTCCTCGCTGCAAACTGACCAAATTAGTAATTTGAAATTACCGGACTTTGTAACTTCTATTTTGGGCAATCTGCAAATTTACACGCTATTTTAGGCAATCTGCAAAATGTCTGATGCGATAGTCAATCTGGGCATTAAAGGTTTTTTACTTCCCACAACGACTAGCAGTGTGCGCAATACTTTTACCTCTATCGAACGCATCGCTATTTAGTCAGAGATTCATAATGGCGAGCGGAAAGAGAATAATAGTTTTATAGAATTTGAATACATTAGGCAGTAAAAACCCAACCCAACCATTATATAAATAACAAGTGTTTATTAATTCAATTTTTATTTGTAGTTTTTCTTTTCTAAAAACAAAATTTAGTTTTTCAATTTTACATTTGTGTCGTAAATTAGTGTTGCGTACACTGGCAGTCAATGTGAGAAGTAAAACCCTTTAATCCCCAGATTGACTATCGCATCAGACATTTTGCAGATTGTCTTTAACAGCGTAGTAAATTCGCAAATTGTCCAAAATGGTAGTGATTTTGCACAATTTCTGTTAAATTGGTCTGTTTGCAGAGTATTTAGACATTTCGCACTTTGCCGGATTTTTTACTTTGCCGGTAACATTTATAAAAATATAAAAAACAAGCCCATACCCAGGGAGATACACCCCCTTCCTTCCCCCAGATGCTCAAAAAATGGACACCACCCCGCAAAATGTCCACACTGACCAGAAAGAGAACATTAAAAAACTGAGAAAAGACACACAAATAGAGAGCCTACATCATTAAATCACCAAGCTAATAGAAGAAACCACAAAGTTAAATCTAAAGCTGGATCAGCTCATATGGAAAATAAACGACAAACAAGATACACAAAGGGTAGAAGAAAAAACAAGAACAAAAAAGGGAAAAACCACAGATGACATTGAAAATGGACCATCCACATAACTAAATTGACCCCAAAAAACAAGGGAGCGCTGCAAACAAAAACTAACACACCACAACGCAATGGAACACCGAAAACAAAACCAGCGACCCAGCAGGAAGAAAAAGAAAAAGGAAACCCCCCGTAAAGATACCGCCCATAGTGATCAGGAAGAAAGATAACTGGACTACAATATCAAGCAAACTTGGCAGAAGGCAAATAAAATTTCATAAGGCTCAAACCATAACAGATGGGAAATTCCGTCAGAAATCAATGTAAAGGACCTGAAGAGCCGCGGCTACCAAGAACCGAAAAATCCATCTTTGAGGATCCCAGTGGAAACACAACATAGCAAACCCACGATCAGCCAAGGGCTTTGGGCATGGACAAAGCAGGTGTACAGCAGAACCCAAGTGCGTCAAATTTGGTGACAATCATATGTCTGACACCTGCACCAAATCCAAAGCACCCTGTCTAAAGACATAGCGACAAATAACATAACACAAAATGCCTAACACCAGGAAACCAAATTACCTAAAGATTCTGGCATGGAATGCCAACTCTCTTAGGAACAAAACACAGGAATTTACGGAACTAGTACTAAGGCTAAAAAAAGACGTGGCTATGATAGGCAAAACACATTGGAAAAATTCGGATAAACAAAGCCTATTTTAATAACCGACACAGGAGAGAAGAAGGTGGCACGGCAATTTTTATCAAGAGGAACATAGAACATCACCAATCCCTCACGCCAGCATTGCAAAACTTGGAAGCCAACGCAATTGAGGTCCAGACGTCTCACCAAGGAACTTTAAGACTTGTCTCAGCATACTACCTTCCGCAACGTGCCTTCACAGAGTCAGACTATGAAAAAGCTATGAGACTAGACAATATACCAACCATCCTTGGAGGCGACCTCAACGCCAAGCACTCAACATGGGGAAGCCGTGTTA